CAAATGCAAGCAGACACAGCAGCATGTCGCCATGTCGTCTGAGTGCTCAGCGGCGCGTCTTGGGCAGATAAGCATCGTCGCTTACAACCCCAACAGCGCCACCCGCGGGCGCGCCCAGGATATACTGGACGAGCTGCACAACGTGACGGTGGTAAGCCTCATCGGCACTCAGGAGAAGGAAGGAGCTTCATGGGGGCAGGGAGGTTCGTCATCTTTCTTCATTCTGGGGCTTTTCAGAAGGCTGGAAGTCGGGGGCCATGTCCAACAAGTCTTGCGGTCTCAGTATTTGGTTCCACAATAAGTTTTTTCGGCAGAGTCACCTACGTGGAGTTGTCTCGGCCCCTCGGGGGCTGCAGAGAAGAGTACTATGCTGCAAGATGGAGAGGCAGTCTGTCAGAGTGGCTTTTATTTCTTTGTATTTTCCGCCTGCCACCCGCAACAAAGAGGACCAGCTGCGGTACTCCAACACCTGCGAGGCGATCATCAGGTGGCTCACCAGGACGCTAGATGCACTTGCTGGACGTTGGATACCAGTTCTGACTATGGATTTGAATTCTACTTTCACGGAGGAGACAGAGGAAGTTATCGGGCCCTTCGGCCACGGCGAGGACGAAAAGAAATCGGCGCAGTTGTTGAGAAGCGTGCTCGTGGCCCACGAGTTCTGTATGGTGAACACAATGAGAGATGCAGGATACACCTTCGTGGCCTCAAGTGGTACGACGCGCACGCTGGATTACATTGCACTGCCAGCAGCCCTGTTGCCTGCAGTACGATGGTGCACGACATTCAAGAGGAGCATGCGCAGATTGCAGCCGCACAAGTGGGGGCGGGAATGGGATCATTTACCTCTCGGCATCGGTGTTCAATGGTCTAAGCAGTTGGAGCTTATGCCGAGGGCTGAGAAACAAGTTCGAGTTGAGCCGACGGCGGCCAGCGCCTTATTGCAGCGTGGCTACAAACGTAAGGAGTTCACGACGGTTGTCCACGACCATACTTTGTCGAAGGCGGCGTGGGTCAAGAGCCAGACGGGGTGCACGATGGCGGTGGAGGCTAATCAGTTACTGGTTGAAGCTTTGAATGCAGGAGCTCTAGCGACATGCACGACAAAGGAGGGCTACACGGAGTCACACACAGAGTATGCGAAGGTTTTACGCGATCTACTACGAGATAGGCGTGAAGTTCGAGACCGATTGGCAGCAGCTTACTCTTGTGATGACGAGAACCGACAGCTGGAGCTCACGATCCGAATTACGACAATAAGTAAGTGGTTGCGCAGACACAAGCAGCGACATTGGCAGCGAGCGGAAGAAGATCGAGTGCGAGTCTTCGAGGAGGCACGAGCGGAAGGTGACTTTCGAGAAGTACATCGACTTGCGAGACTGATAGCGAGTAAGGGAAGAGGACCAAGGAGACGCAGTTATAGACAGTTACACACGAGTGGCACGGCTTCAGAGTGGATTACACGCATGCAGCAAGAGGGCGTGCAAGGTGGTGCTTCAGTGCAGGTGGTCAGCTATGATGCCATGCTTCAGATGGTGCACGACCTGCCCGAGCAGACCAACGCAATCACGGCCGAGGAAACGCAGGAAGACGTGGGTGCATTCAAACATGAGGTTTGGCGGCCCAGATTATGGAGAGTGGCGCCACAGGAGAGTATTTGCGCTGAGTTTTTACGTGCAGCAATGTTTCCGAATTGGGTCAACAAAAGGCGGCAGATCAAACGGCGCGGGATCGGCTACGTGACGGAGCAAGAAAAGTTGACAGCTAACCCTGTGTATTTCATATTGTGGTGCCTACTTCGTGGGATCCGAGAAAGCGGGAAGCTACCATTAAGTTGGATTCTGTCGGACGCTTGCAAGATTGGCAAAGGCAACGAGAAGGAGGGAGTCGACGGCGAAAGGTTGATCATGCTGGTGTGTACGATTGCGAAGGCATACTACCGATCACTGCTGGCCCGAGGGGCTCCACCTGAACCAGAATCTTGGATTTATGGATGTCTTCCAGGCCGACGTCGAGAGGCAGCTGTGATTGCCCAACGAGGTTATTCTTGGCGCAAGAACCGACATCATCAATCACACGTGAAGCGACTCCACGATGCTACGAACGCCTTTTACTGTATCGATCACGACGCTTTGTGCGAGGAAGTGAAATTTCTTTTTCGAGAAGAAGATTGGCACTTGATGAAGTTTCGAGTTCAACTGGCATGTTTTACTGTTCCTGGAGATACAACGGGCAGTGTACTTTGGCTTCATCAAGGATGTCTTCCTGGAGACCCTGCCATGGTACGGCTTTTTGTTGGTGCTTATTCCAGGCAGATGGCCATGGGCTCTGTCAGCGTGGCGAACTACAAGCAGAGCAGCTTTCAGTGTCCTTGGTCGAAGAAGTGGGCGCAGGCGGCTTTTGCACTGTATGTAGACGATGCGGCCGACAACTTTGATGTCAAGACCACCAGCGAGTCCATCATCAGCGAAGGCAAGTTTCAGAACTCAGTCATATCTGGAAGGATGACCGAGGTCAAGATGGCGCAGAACGTGAGCAAGCAGGATAATCTTTTGTATATGTGTGGGCAGAATTCAGTATATCTAGAAGCGAAGTTTTTGCGTGAGCAATGCTTGGAAGGCAGAACGAAGGTATGTGCACGATATTTGGGCCCTCGCATCCATTCGAGGTTCGCTTTGTGTGAAATGGAGTATCGACTGGCTGCAGGGCGCTCGGCATGGTACAATATAGGGCGATTCTTGAACAGCAAAGTACCATTCGGTTGGAAGATCAACCTACTCAAGGGCTACGTGGCGAATGCATGCTACAGCGGAGCAGAAGTACTCTGCGCCAAGACTCGGCCTATGCGAGCACAGGGCTGGCAGCCCATCCTCAGCTTCCTCGCGATGCGTGCAAAGATATTGCTGCGGGGTGTTGTCCAGGAAAAAGAAGACGGTACCATCCGCACCCTCTCCAACCTCCAGGTCTTAACACGGGTAAGGTTAGTAGCTCCGCACGTTGAGATGCGAGTGCGACGGCTTAGGTGGCTTCAACAGTGTCTTCGGAAACACGACCGATTCGCTCAGTTCCTGGCGGTGGTTTTCGGGCGCTCTCGGGTCGACGACCGAACCGAAATCGACAAGTGCACGAGCGAGGACGAGAGAGCGAATCCGTGGTGTGAGCAGCTGTGCGACGACATCAAAACCATCGAGCTTTTCGACGATGGTGCGAGGCTTCTAGAGATTTACGGAGTGGAGGAGATCTTATTCGAGGGGGAGGAGGATTTCACGAGTTTGGATGCAGGAGGTATCAGAGCACACTATTTCCTGAACATCGCACAGCACGAGCGCAAAAAGGAGGAGATTGAACAAGGAGGGCCTCGCAAATGCACCGCACTAAAAGACGACGGGGAAGTTTGTGGGGGGCGGTTCCAGTCCAAAAAGCAGCTTGCAGCGCGCTACCTCGGGGCCAAGGGGGGCACGCGCGGTAAGCAGCTCTTGGGTAGAATGTGTTGTATTTCAAGTCAGTGTGTGATTTGTGGTTCGAATTTCTCGTCTATTGATTATGCTAAGAGGCGCATGCACAACAGTATGCTGAAAGGTATATGCCACAGATCGGGGGAGAACAGATGGCGCGATTATCCTCCCACAAGCTTACGATTGCCCGGCTTGCGATTATGTTGGGCTCGATAATGATGACCTCCGTAGACATCTTCTTGTCGAGCATTTGCATGCGCACCTACACTCACATATTCTGGAGTTTGAACTACCTGGCCTTCAAGGGGCCCTTGATTATTACGCGGAGCAGGATGGCAGATTGGCTTCTTCCCAGTGCTCTCAAGCGGAACATAGAGGGCGGCGGGAACGACAGAGTGCAAGGCTCGAAGAAGGGCAATTCCGAGAACGACGACAATCACGCCAATGCCAAGTTGTTACGCCAGTTGGAGTCACGAATTCGCACGCTGGAGTTCGGAGCAGGTCTCGTAGTGTACGGCCCCAGCGACGACGAGAAGATCGGACTGTTGAAGGCGACCAATCAGGAGTATCAGAAAAAGGTGGAAGGGAAGGCGAACACGCGCGGGCTCGGACCTCCAGAGTTGCAGAGTTTTGCCGCACTTCTGAGCGCTTTCAGCGGATGGCGCGACAAGCAGGGGCCAGCTCAGGAGTCAGTTCGTCATCTCAAAGATATCCCCGAGAGAATGTTGTTGATGATGCAGAAGGCCGACATGCCGATGGCCAGCATGTGGATCAAAGAGTGCGGCACGTCGAACACCCAGGACAGCGGCATCGGTCGGATCACAGTGAAAGTGTTGGGAGCTATGCTGATCCAAGACCCCGAGCCCATGGCCGTCAACCTTCTCAACCAGCAGAAGGAGAGCTGGGCCACGCTCGAGGACGGGGACGCGGCAAAGGAGGCAAAGGACAAGGCCGCCGCCACCGTCCTTCGCAGTCCGCTGGAGATGATTCTAGGAGGAGGAGGTAAAGTAGTGACTTGCGAGCAGATGTTGTATCAGCTTTTTAGGGCTTCTGGTTTCAATAACAAGCCAGGGCGGGCCCCTCGCGGAAAGCTTGTGCGTCTTGTAAAGAATGACAAGTAGCCTGTAGTGGTTGCGACACCACGTGCTCCTCAGCCGTCCTTGCACGATGGGAGTGGCCTTTGAGTCCCCGTCGTGCTTCGAATAAGCTGAGGGGTACTTGGCTTCCCAGCCAATGCCCGCCCCGCGTGGGGCATTCCAGCGAAGCGCTGGGTGCCGCTCCACCGTTTTCGAGGGCCCCTCTGGACAGCGTTAACTTTTTAGGGCCCTGTGGGCCCCAGTCTGCAGCGTTGTTTTCAACTGTTCAGGGCCTCTCGGGAGCGTGAGCACCCCCAAAGAGAGAGATCTGGCGAGAAGAGCCGTGGCCCAGAGCGATCAGGTAGTAGTTCTGACATGTGGAGCTCGAATGGGTAAGACAGACAGACAGACTCCTCCTCCTCCTCCTCCTCCTCCCCTTCCTTCCTCCTCCTCCTTCTCTTCCTCCTCCTCCTCCTCCTGCTCTTCCCCTTCCCTTCCTCCTCCTCCTCCTCTTTCTCCTCCTCCTCTTCCGGCGACAGAGCTGCCAGCGCCCGGACCTCGGGGCATCGCGTGCAGCGATCGGCCCGCCGCGCGGCAGGGGCTCTCTATGTGCTTCGAGCAGGGCAGCGGCCACAGGACGGGCCTGACACACAGCTCGATTCCCTCGTCGGATGTCCACGGACCAAATACAGTCGGGGCCTTGACCTAAGGAGCCCTAAATAAGGAACGAGGCCCCTTTTTTTCCATAAGTAAACTTCGATGTCCGATCGAAAACATAAGGAGAACCTGAGGCAAGCTGCGAAACACTTGAGGAACGCGGAGCCCCTCCCCAACGAAAAGGGTTCCTTCTTCAGGGCCCCGACTGTACGTGTGCACGGTCGTAGATTCGACGGACCAGTCAAGCTCGGGGTAGTCCGAGGCGGGAATTTTCACACGACCGCCGCCTGGAGGATCAACTTCGGGGTCATCGGCAGGCGGTGGATATGGACATATTCGGGCCCCCAGGGGCCAAAATTTATCCATATCCACCGCCCGCTGGGGCACCAGGACGCTGGTTCACAGGGGGTGGATATGGATAAATCCCCGCCTCGCAGGTAGATCAACTCTGTAGTTGACTCCCTGCTCGAATGCTGGACCACGCGTCGCTCCTGCGGTGGGGGGCCAGCCCGTTGCGAGGCGCGCGTGGAGCAGCCCCTGGCCGGGCGGCGGGGCAGGGCCGGCAGCGGCGGGCAGGGCGAGGTTCGGAGCCTCCCAAGCGGGGTCGAAGCAGGATGGGGTCGGAGTCGGGTATTGGGCAGGACCCCAGGTAAAGGGACCGGGCTAGTGGTAGGTCCCTGGAGCCCTTAAATTGGCCAGAGTCACGAAACCAGGTCTGCCGCAGCTGGTGTTTTTTCGGGTGGCGGCAGTTCCGGTCAGTGTAACGGGGCGGGGGCGTCCCCCGGTACACATCACTACACCAGGTCCCACTAAACCCAGTTCTGTCAACGCCCGACTTAGGGTCGCGCCGCATCGCCGAGGCATCGGCGATGCGGCTCGATGCGGAGCCCGATATTCTCCACGCCCGCGTCGCGGCTGCGTCGGCGGTGCATCGCCGATGCGGCGCGACCCTCCAACCCCATCTACGGGTAGGTTCGTGTCGTGCCGACCGGCGGCGACCCCGCCAGCGGAATTCAGCTTTGACCGCCGCGGGCGACCCAGAATCGTTCGGTGTGGAGCGATTTGGACGTTTCGGGGACGGCCGATCGTTAAAAGTTGAGCGATCCCCGCGGTATCGGAGAGGTACGTCGAGGTCGACACGACGCGAACCAGCCGTAGTCCGACCCACTCTGGGAGGCCTCCAGAGGTGCGGCCCAGCGGCGGCGCCTCGCACTGGCAGTCCGAGCGCGCCGCTCGGGCACGTCGCGCGAGGAAGCGAGGAAGCGAGGAAGGAAGGAAGGAGCCCAGACGTGCTCGCGTCGTGAGGAGGATCACGAAGGGAGGCAAGAACCCAGACATACTCGCGTCGTGAGGAGGATCACGACGGAAGGTTTTTGTGGCCGTTTTCGGCTTCTGGGGTCCTCGCCTTGCTCCGGGACCCTCAAGAACGACTCGGCATGAAAGACTGGCCATGCGTAAAGCGTCGGGACTCTTGGGAACCGCGTATTAGTCAAAACATCAGGACATATGTATGGGAAGGGAGGAGGAGGATAAGTCGCCGATGCCGCTGCTCGTCCTGGAAAGCCGTCGTCGCCACGGATGGGTTCTCAAAATTCTGGTCAGAGCGCACCCGGGGAGATGTCTAGGGAGTAGCAGTATCGGTGTCTTTTGATCGCCCGGGAAGGAAGGAAAGAAGAGTAGGGTTTTTTTGTCGTGGGCCACTGCTCAAGCAGGCTTCCGCAGAGATTGGCAGGCAGGAAAATTGAGGAACAAATATATGGTCGAGGGTTTTGCCCCCCCCCAGTGCTAATGCCATCGGGCCCCCCCCCCCGCGCGATGCCCCCCCCCCCTGTGGGCGTGGGCGTGGCGTGGTGGCCCCCCCCCCTGTGGATGTGGTGTGGTTGTGGTGTGTTGCTGTGGGTGTGTGCGGGGTGACGCCATGGTCCTCCTCCCCCCCTCCCTCCCCCCCTGTGGGTGCGGTGTGGTTGCGGCGTGTGGCTGGGATTGGCGTCATGTTGACAGCTCCAGTGCTCGACGTCGTCGCCGCCGCCGCTGGTGGTGCCGTCGACGTCGCCGTCGTCGTTGTCGGCGTCGTCGTCGTCGTCGGCGTCGTCGTCGTCGTCGTCGTCGTCGTCGTCGTCATCGCCGTCGTCGTTCGTCGTCGTCGTCCTCCTCCTCCTCGTCCTCCTCGTCCTCCTCCTGCTCCTCCTCCTCCTCCTCCTCCTCCTCCTCCTCCTCCTAGCTCCTCCCCCCCCATCCCATCTGGGGGGGGGGCCGAGGACCCTGGGACCCATCCCATCTGGGGGCGGGGGGGCCCGTGGGCCCTGAGCCCG